CCATGGACGGAGGAGCCTGGCGGGAGAGAGCCTGTGGGGTTGCAAAGACTCAGACGTGACTGAAGCAACCTAGCATGCACGCACAGCCAACTCAAGAGCAAGTACTAGGGAAAGAAAGAACAGTGTCTTGTGTCCACACACCAGCTCACACCCACGAGGATGGCTACTATCCAAAAAAAAGAACCAGAAATAGCACGTGTTGGGAAGGATGTGGAGAAATTGGAACTCATACGCACTGTTGTTGGGAATGTAAAATGGGGCAGCCACTGTGGAAAACAGTAGAGCAGCTTCTCAAAAGATTAAAAATAAAACTACCACATGATCCGGCCATTCCAGTGGGAGCAAAGACCCAAAAGAATTGAAAGCAGGTCTCAATAGAGGTATTTGTACACCCCTATTCATTGCAGCCTTATTCACAATAACCAAAATGTGGAAACCATCCAAGCATCCATCGGCAGAGGAATAGATAAACAGAATGCGCTCTACACATACAATGGAGTATCACTCACCCTTCAAAAGGAAGGAAATTCTGACACCTGCTACAGAATGGATGAACCTTGAGGACACTATGCTAAGGGAAGTGAGCCAGACACACAAGAACAAACACTGTGTGACCGCACTTACAGGAGGCTCTTAGAGTAATCAAACTCAGAAATGAAAAGTGGAACGGTGGTTGCCAGAGTTCGCAGGGAGAGGCCAAGGAGGAGTTAGCGTTTAAAGGATACGGAGTTTCTATTTTACAAGAGGAAAATCTGGGGGGATGGATGATGGAGATGGTTACACTGAAGTGCAGCCAAAAAATAAAAGTTTTAAAGTAATAATTTAAAAAAAATAAACAGCTGCTTTAAAAATGTATTCGGTTCAGTTCAGTCGCTCAGTCGTGTCTGACTCTGCGACCCCATGAATCGCAGCATGCCAGGCCTCCTTGTCCATCACCAACTCCCGGAGTTTACTTAAACCCATGTCCATTGAGTCGGTGATGCCATCCAATCATCTCATCCTCTGTCGTCCCCTTCTCCTCCTGCCCCCAATCCCTCCCAGCATCAGGGTCTTTTCCAATGAGTCAACTCTTCGCATGAGGTGGCCAAAGTACTGGAGTTTCAGCTTCAGCATCAGTCCTTCCAATGAACACCCAGGACTGGTCTCCTTTAGGATGGACTGGTTGGATCTCCTTGCAGTCCAAGGGACTCTCAAGAGTCTTTTATACCACCAAACTATACACTTAAGGGGCTTCCCTGGTAGCTCAGAAAGCAAAGAAACTGCCTGTAATGCAGAAGACCCAGGTTTGATCCCTGGGTCAGGAAGATCCCCTGGAAAAAGGCATGGCAACCCACTCCAGTATCCTTGCCTGGAGAATTCCAAGGACAGAGGAGCCTGGTGGGCTACAGTCCACGGGGTCACAAAGTGTGTCTGACATGACTGAGCAACTAACACACACATATACTTTAAATGGTTAAGATGGTCAACTTTTTGCTGTGTATTTCACCACAATTTTTTAAAGTGTCCATACATATTAAAATTGTTGTTGTTGTCCAGTCACTAAGTCATGACTCTTTGCGACCCCATGGACCGCAGTACTCCAGGCTTCCCTGTCCTTCACTATCTCCTGGTGTTTGCTTAAATTCATGTCCACTGAGTTGGTGATGCTTTATAACCATCTCATCCTCCGCTTCCCTCTTCTTTTGCCTTCCATCTTTCCCAGCATCAGGGTCTTTTCCAATGAGCTGGGTCTTCGCATCAGGTGGCCAAAATATTGGCATTTCAGCTTCAGCATCTGTCCTTCCAGTGAATATTCAGGGTTGATTTCCTTTAGGATTGACTAGTTTGATCTCCTCAAAGTCCAAGGGACTCTCAAGAGTCTTCTCCAGCAATTTGAAAGCATCAATTCTTTGGCACTCAGCCTTCTTTATGGTCCAACTCTCACATTTATACATGACTCCTGGAAAAACCATAACTTTGACTATACAAATGTTTGTTGGTAAAGTGCTGTCTTTGCTTTTTAACATGCTTTGTCATAGCTTGCCTTCCAAGGAGCAAACATGTTTGAATTTCAAGGCCCTAGTCACCATTAGCAGTGAATTTGAAGCCCGCCAAAATAAAACATGTCACTGCTTCCACTTTTTCCTTTTGTATTTGCCATGAAGTGATAGGCCTAAGTGACAGTGCCATGGTCTTAGTTTTTTGAACGCTGAGTTTTAAGTCAGTTTGAATTAAGTTTGAATGTTGAGTTCTTTTCACTCTCCCCTTTCACCCTCATCAAGAGGCTCTTTAGTTCCTCTTCACTTTCTGCCATTAGAGTCATATTATCTGCTTATCTGAGGCTGTTGATATTTCTCCCGGCAATCTTGATTCCAGCTTGGGTTTCATCCAGCCCAGAGTTTCGCATGATACAGTCTGCATGTAAGTTAAACAAACAGGGTGACAAGTTACAACTTTGTCATACTCCTTTCCCAGTTTTGAACCCGCCCATTGTTCCATGTATGGTTCTAACTGTCCAGTCCTCACTGCTCCCTCATTGACCAAATGACATTTTTTGCGTTGCTGTGATGTGTCTCCTCTTCAGGTTCACATCCACCGAGTATCAGTTTTATTAATGGCAGAATGGGATTCAAATCAACTTTCCTGCAGAGAAAAGACAAACCCAAGAAGTGGCAACTTGCCAGGACCAAGGGACAGGAAAATAAGCCAACGTCAGTTCAGAAAGCGCTGGCTCTGTGCCACAGGTCGGCCCTTCGGCAACCTGCCTTTGTTGGTGGGGGCTGGCGGGGCAGGAGGAGGGGCAGGGCGAAAGGAGCACCAGGTCACAATCCAAAACCTGTACTGTTCCTCTCCTTCCGGGTTCAAAGTGTTTCTTTCCGTGAGTCACAGAGGTTAGCTGAGAGGCTCTCCAATTAAAAACCCACAGTTTCCCTTTTATAGACTGTCCTCAGGAGACCTCTCGCTGAGCGTTCCCTCCGTCCTCACCCCGAAGGGGCAGCCGCTCTAAGCATGTGTGTTTACGGGAACACCAGTAGTTACTGCACGCTCCTTTCCGTGTCATTAAGCATTGCCATGAAGCCCGGCTGAGTTGGAAACAGAGAAAAGCTGAACGGGCAAAGCGGCGGCCGTGCTGTATGTCTTGTGCCACCTACTGGCCACTGCTGGGATCGCATAGCAACTGCCCGAGGGATGGACAGGGTTTTGCCACCTACGGGTAAGCGGACGGTGGGGACTGGGAAAGGCCACCGACCAGCTGTCCCACACTGGAGCTGACTTCCAGACCTGCACTCCCTAGCAAAGGGCTCCAACCCCCTGAGCTCTTTCTAAGGGGGCAGCCCCTTGGGGCTCTCGCTGCCAGGAGAAGGGAAACTTGCAGGACAGCACGACTCACCACGTGCATGCAACCTGGAGACGAGGGGCGCGCACGCCACTATGGTTCGCAACTTTATACAACTCACGAGGTAACTTTTTTGGTGGGGGGGCGGGGGGGGTATAGTTGCTTTACAATGTTGTGTTAGCCTCTGCTGCACAGCGAAGCCAATCAGCTCTGCAGAGACGCGCACCGCTTCCCTCCTGAAACTCCCACCCTCCCAGCCCCACCCCGCCCTCTCTCTGTGCAGGGCAGCAGCTTTCCCGCCAGCTCTCTGCTTGCGCATGGTAGTGTGTATACGCCAGCGCTGCTATCTCCATTTATCCCAGCCCACCCTTTCCTCCCTCCAGCGCGTCCACAGGCCCATTCTGTACATCTGTCCTGCCCCGCACATAGGTTTATCTCTACCGTTTTTCTAGATTCTACATTTGTGCATTAATATACAATATTTGATTTTCTGACTTACTTCAATCTGTATGACAGACTCTAGGTCCATCGACATCTCTACAAAGGACCTAATTTCTTTCCTTTTTATGGCTGAGTAATATCCAATACTTTGGCCACCTGATGCAAAGAGCTGACTCATTGGAAAAGACCCTGATGCTGGGAAAGATTGAGGGCAGGAGGAGAAGGGGGTGACAGAGGATGAGATGGTTGGATGGCATCACCAACTCAGTGGACATGGGTTTGTGTGGACTCCAGGAGTTGGTGATGGACAGGGAGGCCTGGCGTGCTGCGGTTCATGGGGTCACAAAGAGTCGGACACGACTGAGCAATTGAACTGAACTGAATACCCATGGTATAAATGTACCACATCCTCTTTATCCAATTATTTGAGCCCAGCAGTTCAGTTCAGTTCAGTTCAGTCACTCAGTCGTGTCCGACTTTGCCACCCCATGGACTGCAGCACGCCAGGCCTCCCTGTCTATCACCACCTCCCGGAATTTATTCAACTCATGTCCACTGAGTTGGTGATGCCATCCAACCGTCACATTCTGTCGTCCCCTTCTCCTCCTGCCTTCAATCTTTCCCAGCAGCATTTGACAAATGTACCTCTTCTAATCCTCAACACAGCTGTATCAGGTTTGTTCGTTATTATTATTTTAGAAGTGAGGAATCCAAGGCACAGAGATGTCTGATCACTGGGTTAAGTACCTTTCTGTTACAGAGAGAGAAAAATGAAGCATTCTTGGGGTACTTGTTGGGAAGCTGAACTACAACACAATGGTTCTTTCATTGTCTATTTTCCCAAGTAAACACACCAACATAATGATATCTGAGCATCCTCTTAACAGTTTTGAAGATCTTACTTGAAAGCTCCACAAGCAAATGTAGCATCCCTACCTTTATAACCACCATTCTATCTCTTGGTTCATGTCAACAAATACAGGTTAACCCTCTTCTGGGTTTCAGGCAGGGCAGTGGAAATGAACTAACTACTCCATCACTGACCTTATCATAGGGGGCACTCTTGAGGCCAATAAAATTTGGCTATTTCCCAAATACAAACTAATCTTAAATAATGAAACTTTGCCAACTCAGAGGATATTCACGCTCTGAAGCCTGTTCACAAAGAACTGGGGGCAGATCATGTTCCCCTAGGTGACCACCAGGGGGAGTGACTGGGCGGCAGGAGCCCAGGGCAGAACAGCTTCCCGGGGCAGTGAGGGGGTGAGGGCTCCGAGCCCAGGCCCTAAGACAGGACTGCGCTGGCACCGTATCCTGAAGTCCAACAAGAGCCTGGGACTTTGGGCCTCCAGAAAGACATGTGACGGGGCCACTGCAGGCACCAGCCTTCACCGGCCGCACAGACCTGCCTGGGTCAGAGGCAGCAGCCGAGGAGGGTGACTCGGGGAGAAGGAGACAGGCAGGGGGTGGACGGGGGCGGGGGGTTCCTCTCGTTTCCTGCCCCTCCTCCAGGCCACCCAGCGGCCACTTTCCTGCCTTCTCAGGAGCCATGTGTGAAAGCATATGGTCATCCCCAAAGGCAGGTCGGGGGGATGCGCACAGCCACTGCAGCACCCCCAGCCCGGTTCTTGCGCGCTCACCGCCTCGGACTGCCTGAACCTGACCGCAGCCCCCGTCCTCCCCTCTGGCAGACGCACTGTACTCTGCGCTGTGTCCTCTACCTTTACCTCCCACATTTCCTTCATTCCCCCACACTCCCCGAACCGCAGGGTCCTTGTAGTCAACCCCAGAGGTCTGCACACCCGCCTTGTTTATCGGAGTATGTGCTTACTCCCTTTTTACTCTCCGCTCCATGGACGCACTGCCCCCTTGTGGGAACTCACGCCAAATGCCATCTTGAGAATGGCGATTTGCTTTTATGGTGATTTCTGTGTGCCTGCCTTCGTCTTCTTCCTTTCCGTCCTCCTCCTCTTTCTTCTTCTTCTCCTCTTCATCTCCATCTCCTCCTCCTTCTACAGCTTTTATAAGAAGCCTGCCTGTAGGAACTGAATTCATTTCATGCATATAAAGCAATACTTTGGCCACCTGATGCGAACAATTGACTCATTGGAAAAGACCCTGATGCTGGGAGGGATTGAGGGCAGGAGGAGAAGGAGACGACAGAGGATGAGATGGTTGGATGGCATCACCGACTCAATGGGCATGAGTTTGAGTAAACTCTGGGAGTTGGTGATGGACAGGGAGGCCTGGCGTGCTGCAGTCCGTGGGGTCGCAAAGAGTCGGACACGACAGAGCTACTGAACTGAACTGAACTGAACTGATATAAACCCAGGCACTTGACATCAGCTCCTTAAACAAATGTTTTCTTAATTTAAATAAATAAAGGGCCAAATCAATGAAAACCTTGGTCTTCCTGTCCCATCCGTGCTTAACAGTAGTCAGAGAGGAAACCACTTTGCATTTGAGGAAGTGATGTCCTTTTTGACTATAGCTATGACCATGCCTTTCAGTGGCCCTCACTTTGGCCCTGCTCACTGGTCCTGTACCTCACAGACCCCCCTGCATTTCCGCACCCACTACACAGGAACACTGGACTGCATGGCCAACCAGTGCACTCCAGGAGCGGAGCACAGCTTCATTTAACCTAAAAACCCACTGAAGAGGGAACATTAGCATAGACCCAATCTCTATCAACAAGATAAAAATTACTTAACAACTTCTCTGAAACAGAAATGGGATTTAGATGAATCAATATCCATAAATACATTTGAGCTTCTAATAAGTTATCATAAATCCCGCACATTACTTCAAATTAAAATGTTACAAATTCCTCAGTCATTTAACCCTTTACACTTTCAAGACACTCCCCATAAGTTATCATGGTAGCCGTAAGTTATCACGGTAGCCCCTCAAGAAACATATGCAAAATAATAAATACAATCCCTGTACCTTAACAATTTGGGGCTTCCCAGGTAGCTCAAGTGGTAAAGAATCCGCCTGCCAATGCAGGAGACGCAGGAGACACAGGCTCAATCCCTAGGTAGGGAAGATCCCCTGGAGGAGGAAATGGCTACCCACTCCAGTATTCTTTCCTTGGAGAATCTGATAGACAGAGGAGCCTGGTGGACCACAGTCCAGTGGGTCGCTAAGAGTCAGACACAACTTAGCAACTGAGCACATTAACAGTTTAAGACGGTGACTTTTCACAATAATTTTAAAGTACATTTTAAATTTTAAAGTACATTTAAATTTAAATCCCTTAAGCATATATGTCCACTAAAGAGGTTGAGTACACTGGCCGGGAGAATTTTTGCACAGTAATCAAGATGCTCTGTGCTGCTGTCCAGGCTTCTGCTCAGCAGGGGGCACTGTAAGCCAACCTAAGCACATCCTAAGCACCATTGGCGCCTGATACTCACCTGGCTAAGATCTAAGGAGTTTACAAACCCATTGTGCATCAGCCAATGCTCGCAACAATTTTGAAAGGCAGGAACTGGACTGTGTTGGCCATGATCCCATACTTAATGCCAAAGTGTTGGTATAATTACATCCTGGGACAACAGGCCAAATTTGGGGCAACACTTTCCCTCTAAGACGGTCTCCAACCCACAAAGCCCTTCCACCTAAAGCAAAGGAACACATTTGTTTTTGTTTCCCTCTCACAGATCTGTGAAGGGAAGAGGAAAGGGAACCCGAGTAAGACCACACCTGTTTCCTGTGCTGGGGAGACCCGCTGGCCAGGCCTAAGAGGTCACAGAAGGAGAAAGGGCTTGGTGGTCCAGGAGGGTCTTCAGACAGCCTGATGTCTGTAACAGAGTTATACTGAGACCTCTTTTTATTATTTCATTGAGCAGTGTTCTGTGTTTCACTTATTATTTATTATTATTTTCAAAATTAAGTATAAAAATGATCGAATGAAAAAGAAAAGAAATGTAACGTGAAGTTGTCAAGCGCTTTCAGTTTGCATTTTTCTCCCTAATCAGTTGATAATTTGTATTTAAAAATGCAGCTTTCAGGGAAACCACTTCCTGTGTTGAACAAAGTTTGTTGATAATAATAAAGCCTAGAAGCTCAAAACATAACAGCAACAGAAAAGTGACTACCCTGGACTTCTGGTTACTTCTCCATATTCCTCCTGCTAAGAACAGCTATAAAACCTGGATATAACATGAAACGTGAGAAGTTTCTGAAAGGTAGAGAAGAAAAAGAAGATTGGATAAGGACCCCAGGACCCGAGGAACAGCACGGCAGTAAGGTCTCCAGTTTTCTTCTTGACTCCTTATATCTCAGACTGGGCTGAGACGCTGGCAACCTAGAAACACCAGTGGGTGCAGGCAAAAAGCCCCCCAAGCTAAGCTGGCTTTTTAGCTAAAAGATCAAGAAGATAGCAGCCTAGCAAAACAGAAAACTTCTGGACAAAAACCAGTCTCCTCTGGCCAAGCACCATGAGAAACAAATGGGGGGTGCCTAGTCCCACACTCGTTACTGAAGGATGAGTGGAGAACCAGAGCCTGAAGAGGGGAATGGAAGCCCACTCCAGCATTTCTTGCCTGGAGATTTCCATGGACAGAGAATCCTGGTGGGCTGCAGTCCAAGGGGTCTCAGAGTCGGGCTTGGCTGAAGTGGCTTAGCACACACGCACGCACAGAGAACCAAAGCATCCACCCTCTTCTGGCTGTAACAAGATGCTCTGACGTTCCCTCCACAGCCAGGATGGCATCAGAAAGGGCTGAGTGAGAGCCCAGAACTTTCATCCAGGCATGGGGCAAGGCATGCCCCGCCACTCGCAGTGCCAACAGAAGCCACGTAGAGATCCTGGGCTCTCAGCCGCTCCCATAAGAGCAACCACTAAATAACTTACACAAAGAAATACACAAGAATGCTATACCCCAAACTGGAGTTATAAAGTATATTCAAACAACTCACAGGAAGGCAGGAAAAAGAAAACAGAGGAACAGAAGAGCGAATAGAAAGGAAACGAAAGGGAAAATGGCAGGCTTAGCCCTAATATGTAAATCCTGACACAAAGTGTAACTAGTTTATTAGAGAATGAACTTATGGTTGCCGGGGGCGGGGAAGGATGGGGGTGAGGTATAGTTAATTTGGGATGGACATGTACACACTGCTACATTTTAAATGGATAACCAACAAGGACCTACTGTATAACCTGGGGAACTCTGCTCAATGTCACATGGCAGCCTGGATGGGCCGGGAATTTGAGGGAAAAGGGACACATGTATGTGTATGGGTGAGTTCCTTTGCTGCCCACCTGAAACTATCACAACTCTGTTAACCGGCTATACTCCAATATAAAACAAAAATTTTTTAAAACAAATGTAAATACTCTTAATACACCTACTAGGGACTTCCCTGGCAGTCTAGTGGTTAAGACTCCATGCTCCCACTTCAGGAGTCATGGGTTCAATCCCTGGTCAGAGAATTAAGATCCTGCATGCTGCAAAGTGTAGTAAATAAACAAACAAACATACTAAAAAGACAGAGATTGGCAGAGCAGATTAGAAAACATGACCCAACATACGCTATGTACATGAAATTCACTTCAACTGTAATAGTAGAGGTAGGCTGAACATTAAAGAATGGAGAAAGATACACTTTGCAAAGATCAGTTCAAAGAAAACAGAGTGGCTACATTCATATTAAATGAAGTACACTTCAGAGGAGAGAAATTTTCTCTGAAGAGATAATAGGAAATGTTACCTAAATGTTCCCAAACACCCAGAACAGCTCCAAGTTCTCTCTCAAAGTCAAATCTGCAGTCCTCGACCTGGGAGCCCTATTTCCTCTAACTGCCCGGCTGAGAAGAAAGCAGCTGAGTGTACTCTTCTCCCAGAGATCGGCTTTCTCAGAAAAAGGCTCAGAGCAGGCTTGTGTCTCACTGAGAACGCCAGGCAGACCCCACCTAAGTGAAGAAGCAAGACAAAAGATGTGCAGGACAAAAAGAGGTGCTCCTCTCGGCTCCCATATACACGCTGGGGATCATATGTTATCAGATGGTGGTCTCAGATACATCAAGAGGGTGGATGGAGCAGAGATGGGTGATTTAAGACTCTTGAGAATAAACAGAGGTTTCCCCCAAACCTTTCATGGTTCAAGTCAATGCTACTTGCTCTTTCACAAGATCTGATCACCTTAGGGGAGCACACGTGGGGTACCTGGCACGGGGAGGAGCCTGCTGACTGTGCAGTCTGGACTCACCGTCTGTGGACTCCTTGACTTCAGTACCAGCCAGGTGGGTCCAACATGTCTCCATTCACAATCTAAAAACAATCCCCAAGTCTCGCCAAAGCATCTGCCTTACGCCATCTGCCCACTGCAAGAGATTGAGTGTCGTTCTGGGTCCCTGGACACGTTCCAGATGGAGATGTGCCTCCTCAGCCTTCAGGCAGAGGAATAGATCTCACCTTCCTCGTGGAAG